CTTTGACAAAAGGGTAGATATAACTCAGTGAGTGAAGGGCAGTCTCTTCAAAAAGTGTTGCTGGGAGTGATAAGGTAGAGAGAGGGCAAAGAGGAAGAAGAGGAAGGAGAAAGTAAAGAAGAAAAATGACAAGAAACAAAGAAAACACACAACGCAAGTCTAACACATAACACAAAAATTACCTTCATGTCAATGGTACACTTAAATGTAAAACATAAAACTTTTACATTAAAACAGAAATAAACCTTTAGGATGTTAGGGTACACAAGCAATTCTTGGACTTAACATCAAAAGTGTTGTATATAAAAGGTAAATTTTATAAATCTAAATTCATCAAAAATTAAAACTACTGTCTTACTGTTGAGAGAATAGAAATAAGAGACTCAGAAGGGAGAAAATATTTGCAAAGCACATATTCTACAGAGACATATTCTTTTCAGTGTCCTTGCTCCATAGGCACAGAGAGATATGCTACTTCACCCTACTTACTAGCAGAATAAAATTCAATAGATTATTTAATTACTGTGCCTCGATTTCCTTGTCCATACAACAAGAATGATAATAACTCAAAGGATTTGGGATTTTTTAAATGAGAATTTGATGGATTAACCCATCTGGATTTATGCCTGAAGCTAACAGGCACTCAATAAGTATTAGCTATTTTTTGAAAAATATTACATATAGATAATAGCTACTGTTTGGTATTGTAATCTGAATATTGAATATTGTAATCCAAGTATTGTAATCCCTTCTTTGATCTTCCTAACAATTCAAAAACTTATATTTGTAATCCCATTGAAATGTTATTGGAATCCCGGCAAACAAATTCCAATCTACCACCTCCAATGCAACCCACAGAGAGAGTAAATACACCAAGACATATTCAAAGCTAAGGGCAGCCAAAGGGTCCTAAACCCAATCCAAGTGAAGATATATGGACAAAGGCCTTGATCCAAGACCTCTCCCAGAATTTATTAACTTGTGAAGAAGGGAGTGGCTGCGGATGAGTGACAGGGGAGATGGCAGGAACTACATGAGTAACTTGAGCTGGCTAGTCAGGTGGGAAGAAAAGCATCTTTGTAATATGCAAGGAGATATGCAGAAAGACCAGTCTCATAACTTGACTGGGATAACATATGAATGAAGGTAGGAAGCTGTTGCTTCAGTTTCTGATAGGTAAACTTTTCATAGCTTCTTACTTTGAGGCTCAAACCAGCTGACATTCCTGGAGCTATGTGGCTTTGCCATCGCACTATACTTCAATCTTTTACAGACAGCACTATGCAAGTAAACAGGATACTGTCAGGTTGGCCTCCAGGATCACATAACAGTACCTTGGCAGGCCTTATTTGCATAATCTAGAACTAAGTGAGGGGAGAAGGTAATAGCATGGCCCACTCTGTACATATCAGTATATGAAAATAAGCCTCAATTTAACTAATTTTGCAGCAATTGTTCTGCATTCAAGGGTATTCACTCAATTGTCTCCTACTCCTGTTTAGACTTTCATAACCATATTGTAATTACTTGAAACCATCCAGGACAAGACAATTAGTCTCAGAGTGACTCAGTTTCTTAGGCAAAGTCCACAGCTACTAAAAAAAAGGTGGCATTAGAAGTCAAAGATCCTGTTCTCTCAGCCAGAGTTCTTTCTGCTCTTTATCTCTAGGGGAGAGGTAGTAAATCTCTTAAACATTTCATTACATGAAAAGGTGAATCATTTAAGAACGCAAATGTTAATGCCATACCTGACCTAGTTGCTTTATTCTTTATTTTGTGTATTTAATTTATTTCAAGTAAAAAAATTCAAACATAAATTGCAGAAAACAACACATTAAAACTACTATAAATTCGCCATTCAGAATTAACAATTTTGACAACATGGATTTTTTTTTTCTTTTTTTTTAAGGAAAAAAGTTACAAAATAGTTGGGGGCCCTTTTTTTTTTTTTCTTTTCTGATTCTAATCTCTTTACATTTATTCCTCTAAAATAACTGGCCACTGTTTTAAAATGAATGTGTATCTTTCCTTTTCCCTGTTTTCTGCTCTAACATTACATGGGTTTATAATGATCCATTCTGTTATTTTTATTCATAAAATTTACATAAATATTATTGCTTTTTTCACTCAAAATTATGTTTTCAAGATTTATTCAAGTGAATACAAATTAATTTCCTTAATGCATTTTAAACTGATCTATGATATTTCCTGGTATCTTGAACAACTATTTGTAAAACGACAATATGTCAACATCAACTAGTGATTTCTTACTGTTCATTTTTTTCTCTCAACATATGTATTATTTCTACCTATTTTCTGTTTTGTTTAGTCTTTCTTTAAATAAAATTTTTTTAAAAATTTTAAAAAGATATTTCCTGGTGTAAATACAACATAATTTATGCATTTTCCTACTAGTGTTCATTTATGTCAATGTTATGGTTTGTTTCCAGATGTTCCCACAAAGCCTCATGCAGTCACAGGGTTTTTCTCTGTAGGTGGCTGAATCTAGCATGTGTGATTGATTCATGGTTCAATGCTGGGATTAAGGGTCCTGGAATTAAGGATGGGTGATTCTAGAGCAGTCCACTGGACTGGCACCACCCTGATCCCTATACCATATCAAGGACAGAAAGAGGTTTGTCTCCCACTCTCCCTTGTTACTTTGCTGTTTTCTTTTGCCATGAACTGTTGCCCCTCTACCATGTGCCACTCTGCCTTGGAGCCAGCCAATTATGGACTCAAACCTCTACAAGCTATATAAACTGTATAAACTAAGTAAACCTTTCCCCTTTAACTTTGAGTGTAGGCTATTTTGTCTCAGCAATGAAAAAAGTAACTAAGACATCCAGCTTGTTAGTGAATTTAATTCTTCACTGATTATTCTTGATTATATCTCTGTTCATCAATGTGAAAGTTTCTTTATGAAATATACTTAGAAATAGAATTTCTTGATCATAAGTTATGAACACCTTCAATTTTGTTAAATTTGTCAAGTTTACCTCCAAAATAGTTGTCTAATTTAAACTTAAGGGAACAGTAAGAGTTTCCAAATATTTGACAACACATGGCACTTTAAATTTTAATAATTACTAACTCAAAATGTATAAAGCAGTATGAAATGTCATATTAATATATAACTCCTACTTGTGAGATCATCTTTTATGTTTTTTGTGTGTATGCTTTCTCTTTTGTGGATTACTTGTATATACACATGATTTTTTTTTTCTCTTACATTATTTCTTTCTAGTTGGATCAGTCTTTAGTTTAGCTAATAGTTCTTTATTATATAAATTAAAATAATTTCTCCCACTATCTGGCCTTTTTATTTTGTTTTTATAGTAAAGAAACTTTAAATCTGAATATAAATTAATGTAATAAGGCATTTTTTTCAGTTTGTAGTCTTTACATATTTTGCCATAAGGCCTTACTAACCTTAAGGTTAAAAGGATATGCTTCTATATTTCTTTCTAAAATTATTAAATTTTGCCATTCATATTCTACCAGAACTTTGTTTGTGATGTGAAGTCTGAATCTAACATTGGCTTATCCTTTTGTTAGACCCAGTTGACCAACATCATTTATTAAATATCTTTTTTTCCCTGTATGTCACTATAGTAACATATGAATTCCTATACAGGTTCAACTATTTTGTGCTCTCTGTTCTGTTGATCTATTTATTGTTTTAATTTGCATAATTTTATAATAAATCTTATTGATGAATAATACAATTTCCCTCCCCTTTGTCTACTTTAAAATTATCTTGAAATGTCTTTGGCACCTATGAATAAACTTTAAGATTTTCCTTTTAATTTTACAAAAGCTTTATTTAAATTTTATTGGAATTGCACTGAATTTATTGATTCATTTTCAGGAAATTAATAGCCCTACTATACTGAGTCTAACTTTCATAAATACCCTAGATTTTTATATGTTTATATGTTTAATTCTTCTTTTATATGTTTAATTCTTCTTTTTTAATTCTTCTTTTATATGCTTTCCCTACATGTCTTGCTTTTCTTCTGCTAGGTTGATTCTTAAATATATTTCATTGCTATTTTTGTTACTTTTCCAAATAGCATTTCTCAGATCTTCTTATTCTCAGGAATCTCTCAGAGTGATAGCTTCCAGAGAAGGAGTAGAGTCAATGTGACTCTCAAATCAAAAGACTTAAACAAGTCTCAGCCAGCAAGAAGTTGTGTCTGATGTTTGGTTTCTCCACCCTAAGGAATGCAAAACACCTACATTCTACTTCGCTAGGTTGGCTTGTTCCAACAGCCCTGCAAAGTTAATCAAAATGTGTCACTTCATCATTATTTTTATTCAGGAAGAAAACCATTTAGAAAGCCAAATACTTTTGCCTATATTGATTCTAAAACAGAGAAATTTTAGTATCAATTATTACAAGGGCTCCTTTAGCAAGAATTTTTACAACCCAAGGTCATGCTACCACATAGCTTTCCTATCCACAACCCCCAATAAAAGCATGTTGGACCTGTTTGCCTGGCTGGAGTTGCTTTCCAGAGGTACTTCCGGATTCTGGATTTTTCAAGCCAAGTCAGAAGAAAACTTGTTAAGTACCAAGTTATGCTGACCCCATATGATATTTATCATCTGCCTAAAATGCTTTAATCAAATTGTTGCAAAATTGCAGAAGACTGAAAAAGTGCCATAAAAAATAGTTTATATATAAATGAGCAAAATCATCTTCATCTTTCTTCAATCTCATACAGCAGTTCAACAGCTGGATTTATTCTGCAAAAAAAAAAAAACAATAAATGAATAGACAAATAAAGTCTGCTCATAAATTTTATAAGTCAAATATTTTTAAAGGCTGCTGACATTTCTCATTCCAGGATGTACGCCCTTGATGCATGCAGTTTCTGGACGTCAAGTGGACACAGTGAAGCTGCTTCTGAAGATGGGCGCCAACATTAACATGCAGGATGCTTGTGGCCGCACGAGTTTATGCCTGGCAACCTACCTGGTACCAACTGGTGTCTGTTAAAAGGATAAAGAAGCAGGGGTGCTAAAGATGTTGTTCTGGAGGGGGCTCCCTCTTGAAGAAAGTGATCTTAATGGAGCTGGCGACTGGAAATAGAACCCAAGTGTTACAGCAATCATCGTCAACATTTATGTCAACACTTACATGATTTTATGAATTTAAATACTGGATCCTCCCAATGTTAACAGACAGGAGATATCACCTTTAGAGAAACATTCTTTTTTATCTTACCAACATCAAAATTTGGGACATTTCAGGTCCCTCCATAAAAGAACACCCTCCATAAATAACACAGCAGGAATGTTCTCCTTTTGAGATACAGTTAACATCTGAGGGGGAAGAGTAGTGAAAAGGATGCTCCAGGCTGCACAATGTGAGATACAGTGCGATCTAGGAAAGGGAAGGAGAGATTGAAGTACAGGAGGTACCAAGACTTAGTTCCAAGTCTGTATTCAAGTTAGAAACTATAGGATGCCAGACCCTACAAGGAATATGTCAGTTTGATGTTTCTTTAACCCTAGAGCAAACTTGGTTAAGACTCACTGAAAATCTCTGAGCCCTCTCTTCTCAAATGCTCCCCATGATACTTCTGGGAGGCTCTAGGCTGCCTTGAGTCCATGTCAAGCAAGTCCTAACTGCCATGTGGGAGATATCATTCTCCTTTCTCCCCAGGAAGGTACTCAGAAATCTTCATCGTGGCCCCCATATCCCTGTCATTGCTGACTCATGCATTTGTTATTGCTGTCACTGAGATGATAGATTCATCTTGTACCAGCCCCAGTGAGATGCTCTGCTAAAGCAAAAACCATCCCCTCTCTAAACTCACTACCCTTCCCTGCCACCATCCAGCAGAAAATGCAATGATATATTGCCCAATCCTCACAGAGATGTCTTTAGAGTTTAATTTTTCATTATGTATTTGTATGAACTCTTTCTCTAAGACTCAAAAATGTATATGAAAGGAGTTTTTCAAAGTGTGATGAACAGATTTCTTGTGTCAATATCCCTTAAGTCACTTGTTTCAAATGCATGTTCCTGGGATAAACCCAAGATCTCCTATTCAGACATTTAGAGAACAGAGGACAAAGGATGGAGGAGGTCTGTGGGTTAAACAAATTTCACTGACAATTTTTATGCTCTCTGGAGTTTGAAAACCACTGTTCTGTTGGTGCTAGCTGAGGTCCCGTATCTCAGACAGATGTGTGACTGTCTTCCCAGTCATCTCCTTTATAGTATATGCCCTGATAACTGCTCTTGTTGCAGACTTTTTTGATATCTAAGCTTAGGAAAAGAGAACATTTAGACCAATTTGTTAAGTAGATAGAAGCAGTTTCTCAAGTTCACTGCCATTAGCCTGTAGTATGTGGTGAGAATAAACTATTGCTTTCAAATTCCTAAAATTCTAAGTTTCAGATTTCTTTAGCTGGATCCATGCAAGGGATTTAGAAGAAGTGCTCTTCTACACCAAAGTGAATCACAAAGGACATTCTTGAACCCAAAAAGGTGACACCTTTACAGGCAGCTCTTTATGGGCAGGCATTCCAAGGAGCAGTGTATGGGAAGTAGCCGAGTGATACCATTTGGTGCTATAATAGTATTAGAGAGGCAGGAGTTAAGATTCTATTGGGCAGTAAGGCCAGTGGCCCCCAAATGGAGTCAGGAAACCCAGAATGGCATCTTCTGAGTCACAGCCCTACAGGAATCTTACAAAACTATCTTCGAGGTGTCCCTGGCTGTCTGAGACCTCCCAGAGCATGATCAGGCAGGCCCTTGGCTAAAGGGCATATGGACCCTACATGAATACTGCATAGATTGAACCCCCAAATATGTAGTCTCCTATAGGGTAGAGATTATATTGCTTAATACAACAGGCTGAACTCTCTTCCAAATCTCTTAAAAACTCCTACACAAAGAGCTCTCAGGGGTATCCTTCTCAGAAACCACTTCCAGGCTACTGGGAACTTTATTTCCTCACCTTTATACATTTTAAATAAAATTGCTTGCACCCTACCTCCTCCATCCTACAGATTCATTCTTGGTCACTGTGGGACAATACCCCACTACTTCATAACAGTGCCACATCCTTAACTATGACCAGCCTCTATGTGACCCGCTTCTGTTCAACTCTGCTGAGGCTCATGGGAAGGAGGTGTCCTGGAGACTGTACTGCAGAGTCCACCACTTCTTCCCAGCAGTGTTTGCATTCAAGCATTCAATCATAGCTGTAAATACAGTGTAGATTATGTGTGACCTTGGGCAAATGCTTCACTTCTTTGTGCTTCTTTCATTTGAAAAGTGTAGGAAAAACAATAACCTAAGTTGATCACAATAGAAGGAGAAATGCATCTGGAGTCAGCCAGCATGTAGTTAGTTTTGAAGAGCAACAAAAATTTAAAATATCTTCATTAGCTTCCTGATTTTTTTTCTGAAAAAAAGGAGAGAAACAGAGACATACACATGCAGACTCAGGAAATGTTGCAAAATTATTACTTTTTCAGTGTTTCAAATCTTTGCCCACCAAAAATCTGCTTTTCAAAAACTGTACATTTTGGGCAACTCTAAGATTTGTTCATTGTTCTTTTCTTTAGGGTCTTCTGTCTATTTTTCCTCCTTTTAATCTGAGAATATGATGACTTCAACATTAGGAACTAAAAACATGCTATATTAGTAAACTATGAATCAACACTGACAATTCCAGGAAAACATTTATGCCTACTTAACACTTAGATGTAATTAGTCAATTCTACAGAACCATACTCAATTTTATAGCCTATGATTTTTGATGTTGACAGATCTTTTCCAGACTTCAAAACTGAAAGGTTAGTTTTTCATTCTGTTCCTTCTTCTTCCTGTATTTATTAACATTTTTTTATTTTTAATGCTTCTGACATTATGTTGGGGGGAAATCTTTAGTCATCTTTTTCATCTTACTAGGAAATTTTGAGGCTTAATTATACATGAATAGAGAAAGGCAGGAAGCCTATTTCTGAACAGAAGAGAGAGTTCACACATTATTCATTATAATAACTGTTTCATTTATTGTTAGGCTATGTGTAATTTGGTTGAGTAACCCCAGAAGTTCTGGATAAATGTAGGAGGCTTCCTCCAAAGCTTGAGAATCAAATGTGAAAGCAGTATGAGGCAGAGAAGGAGGGCTAGGTAAAGATCACTTCTGACCTTTGAAATGGGAAAGATAGCAAGAAAGTGACCCAGCTACAAACATGGCCAGGGAAGGGACAATTGCAGGCTACAGTAATATCATGTCTCAATGTGACCAATGAATGGACAGCAGGTAGTAAGGGAATTCATAGGTAAGTAAAACACACCAATGAGGAGCCCTTGGAAGATGTTCACAAAACCTCCATGTTTATGGTGTCAGGTTGTTAACATCACACCCCTGCCATTGGAGTGAGGCTCAGGTTAGGCCTCTAGGCACTAAGATGGGAACTGACTAGAATAAGCAAGATGCTATCTTATGGCTGCTAGTAAAAGCACTTGGAAGTGAGGACCCAGGTAAAGCATCAGACACAGATAAACTGAGGTAAAGAATGGACGCTGAAACTCAGAGATGGTATAGGTGTCCACTTTTTAAGAATTTGATATTGACATCCAAGTCAAGCCAAGGACAGGCATGAGTTTAAGATAAGCCCATAGAATGAGGGGCTAAATCAGATTAGTCATCCCCTGTGGCTCTGGGAACTGTTACAAACTGAGCTTATCAAGGGAGTAAGAATGCTTCTGAAAAGAAGAAGTAGGAGGCAAAAGAGAGAGAGTCTGGGGTTTGTCTTCCAGAAAAGTTGAAAAATCTACACCTCAAGATTTTTATCCTGTCTTGAGGTGTCTCATTGGAATTGTGGTTAATTCCTTCAGGTCAAGTAACACATGCTTTTAGCCAAACCAAAGAAGGGGAACAGGACTAGGAAAAGTTTGTTGAGCTGTGTTATAGGAGTTTGTGTTCTATAATCATGGGGTTGCTCCTGCCTTTCAGGGTTGGCTTGAAGGCTGTGTGAGTCTGCTCAGAAATGGTGCCAAGCACAATATCCCAGATAAAAATGGCCGCCTTCCACTTCATGCTGCCACTGCCGAGCCCGATGTGAGGTAAGCAGCCAGGTCCTTACAACACACAAGTTGGGAGAGATCCAACTTATGTTAGGAAATCATCTAATATCCATTCCTCTGTAGCTGATAGAAACAAAAATCTATCCTTTTTTAAAAAATTTTTTTGAAGTTGTGGCAGACAGAGAAGAATACTTAAACTTTAATCTCATTCCTCTTCTGTTTAAATAAGACCTTGTTCTCTTAGAATTTGGTTTAAGAAAAAATGCTTTGGAATTCATGTACTCATTCAATTAGTCAATTAGTCAAAAACTAGTGAATTGGTTGAATTAGATATTTATTATTATTGAATTAGTATTTATTAAACTCTTATTATGGACCAACTTAGGTTCTAGTCCCAGAGAAGGGTTAAGTGACCCACTGGTAAAGCAAGAAATGAGATTTCTAATAATTATATGCACTTTGAAGAATATCAAATACAATTTAAAAAAAAAAAAAAACAATGACTGGGCAGAGAAGTTGCTGCCTAAACACAGAATCTACACAGCTAAGAACTGGGAGTAAGAAGTTAGAAGGAAAACCAGCCTGGGCTCCTGGAAGCCGTGTGAGAGGAGATACTCAAAGAAAGTAGTTGTATGAGGAGACTGAATTTTTGTAAGACAATTGAACAACCAAGAAAAAGGTTTTCTCAGACCAAGGGAAATTGCTTTGCATCTGTTTGACCTCTGTCTCCATTCTTTTGAAAGCCCCTCTCAGCCACTGGTAACAATTCCTACTATGAAATGGTAATATTGGGGCTCTTCCTTTGCTTCTGCTTGTACTGCATGTACCTTTGGCAGGAATGTGGTATTTCCCAGCACTACAGGGAGTTTTCTATGTGCCTTGCCCTCTACAACCATGTACAAAACTAAAACCTAGAGTTCTGCAGGGTTGTGGAAAAAAAGGACACAATCAGAATGAGAGATAACAAGATTTCTTCATTTCAGTCACTTTTACAGAAAAGTAAAAGGGCCTGGGAAATTTCAGGACTGTTCCCAAGGCTTGCCTCTTACTACCTTGGACTATTTCCAGAAATAACAGAAAACTAGAATTTACCCAAAACTCAACAAAGCAAGGAAATTTAGAGAAGCCCAGACAGTTAACAATCAATAAACATTGCGTATAAGGGAATGACTCCATCGTGATGAATTTTAAGTAAAAAGGGCAAAGAAAAAAGAAACAACAATGACTTTTCTAGACAACCATACAACTATTTAACCACAAAATTATATGCTGTTTTCCAAGAGTGGTCTTTAGAAAATAAGTTTAAAACTTACCTTTTAAGATAATTCTGCCTTGAGAGGTCGTGAGTTCAATCCCCAGTACCAAAATAAAGAGATTATTCTGCCTTGATTTACTGTATTTAACTGCCTTTCTCTGCCTCATTCAAAGAAGCCCATTTAACATCTGCTAGCTGATTCCAGAAGACAAAGTCCTAAATTATGGTAATAAAGGCCACTGTAACCAATAAAACCCAAAGCTTCGGTGTTTTAACAAAATGAAAATTTTCTTCTCAGACATATAACAATCCAATATGGCAAAGTGGCCCCTCCATTTGGCAATTCAGGGACATGAGCTTCTCCCATCTGTGGCTCCATTGTCCCCCAGGATCATAGAGGACCCTGCATTCATCCTGCAGATGAGGAAAGAAGAGTATCAAGGAACATCACTTATTTCTTAAAACCTTAACCTGCAAATGACACCATCACTTCTGGTCACATTCCACCAAAAACTAGTCATTGGAACATTGTAGTTCAGGTAATATAGTCATTCACAAGGAATCTAAGTCTCCCTTCCATGAAAGGGAGACATGGATTTTGATGAAAAGTTGGCTATCTCTGCCATCAGATACTCATGGCACCTGAGAAGTGAACTAAGCCTTATGGTCAAAATTATATTCAGGGTCAGTTAGGTCAGTCAATTAGATTCATGCTCTAAAATCATTGCAATAATAAATTGAAAACCAATCCACATTGTGTTTTATAATCATGGGGTTGCTCCATGATTTGTGGGCTTGAATACCTTCTTTTTATTATGCCCAGCAGTACCCCCTGGACACTCTAGGATCTCTGTTACATTGTAGTAATTGGGAGAAGAGCAGAGAGCAGGGGCCTCACCTTCTCTTAAAATTTTACCTAATGATGTAGCCATCACCTTTGGATGAATTGAAGCCAGAAAAATAAAAATCTGTCTGTGTGTGCTGATGATATGGTTATATTGTCCTGAATGGACATTTGATTCTAAAAGATAAAATCCTGCTTTAGTCAGTGATAATACTTGCTGCTTTAACTAACAAAACCCAAAAGTTGAAATTACTCCAAAACCAAAATTACTATTTCTAATAAATGTCCTGCAAATCAACTGAGTTAAACTCTAACAAGTCATGCAGCAAATCAATTAGCTTAATTACCTAAAGAACATCTAGAACTCAGATTGCCTTAAACAATTTCCTGTGAAATTAATAACTAAAAATTAAATATTTTATAGTTTTATTAAGAAATTTTACAGTCATGGCAGAGACTGCATTAAATAACGTCTGAATTAAATATTTAAAGCAGAAGGCAGGTGTGGAGGCACATACCTGTAATCCCAGCACTAGAGAGGCTGAGACAAGAGGATCATCAGGAGTTTAAGGCCAGTCTGGGCTACATAGTGAGACCTTGTCTCAAAAAAAAAAAAGTTGTTTTAAAGCAAAAACTAAGCAAGCCACATTCTGTCACAGAGCAGGACTTTAGTCATCCATTTGTTTGTGTATTAGCATAAACTTTGAATTGTTTTCTAAAAAACTAAAAAAGAACTGGTCTGGTTTATAGGTATTTCTTAACCCCATCACCATGGTGGGGAAGGCAGAGATCTTCTATTAGAATACTGGGATCCTATTTGACCACTCAGTTTTCCTAAGGCCTACAGTGACGATGGTGCCATTGAGTGACATCATGTCCTACCAAAATTCTAATTGTCTTCTATGTTCTTCCTCATTTAATCTTTACCACTGCTTTGTGCAATAAGTTAATTCTTAATATCAGTCTCATATCATCAACAACACTTCCTGAACATGGCCAATATATGGAGTGCTGTGTTCCTTATTTTATATATATATTTCTATCCTTACTTAACAAGTGAGAAAACTGAGGCACAAGATAACTAAGTAACTGCCTACTAACATCTGAACATAACCTGTCCAATGAGATTGCTGTGTTCTCAGATCCACTATTGTCAGTTTGGTCATATTTTATTAATAAGCCATTGACCTAGGTTGAGAGACCTTACAAGAAACAGCCTTACAAAATTTACTGGCTCATTGTCAGTAAGTTTTTTACTCATTATAGCATCTGAAATATCCGATACAAGCAACCACAGGAAAATTTTCTCCTCAAAGAGGAATTTCTGGGCTCCCAAAAAATTATTTTGCATTTACACGGACTCTGTGATTTATGATCACATTTGTCTCTTTATAATTTTAGAAAACTCAAAACCCAACTGAAATCCCAGCTCTGGCACGCATGTAGTGCTATCACATCTTTTTTATTCTACCCTTTTTTTCCCTTGTCTAGTTTCTTCACTTATTTTATCTTCTTCCATGTAACTAAAATCCTTCTTAGGTTAAGGTCAAGAATAACCAGAAGTCAGACTGACCTGGCCTCATCTTTTGCCAACTAGAAAGCAGGGAGAACGAAAGCCCTTACATTATAGGAATACAGACAGAAGGAAGCAAATATATATGTATAATAAGGAACACAGCTCCCCACATATTGACCGTGTTCAGGAAGTGTTGTTGATGATATGAGACTGATATTAACAATAATGATAATGGTGTGATAGAAAATAAATAGAAAGACATATGATAGATCAGTACTAAAGAATGAAATCCTGTTACTGCCACATCATCATCTTCCGTCTTGGCCTTCACCTTGGTGCACACAGATCCACATATGCAGGTCTTAGTGGCTGGCACACACATTCACTGCAAAGGATGTCAGGATGTGAGCAGTGCTCCTACTTGTGTTGCTGCAGGGAAATGAACTGCTGCCAGACTTCAGAACCCTAGGAACATTAAAATCAACCACTGTGCCCTCCATAAACTTCTTTGCCACCTTCATTTATGCTGATACATCCAAATTTTTGTCCTCATAATAAGCAGAAGGTACAGACCACAAGGTGTTTATATGGGTGTTAAAAATCTCTGAGCAAGCTCCCTTCCACTTAATGCTTACTGAAGATTATTCAGAGGGGAGCCTCAAATTCAAGCTGCTTATAAACAATCCAAGGAGACACTCTGGTTAGCCTTTGACCTTTGAGGAATTCTGATTCCTCCTGGAAACAACTCCCTACCAAGCTGATCAGTGCCAGTCTACTTTTGTAGCCAAACCCCAGTGCAGTGGGGATCGGAGCAGATGCAGGAATTAAATGGTTTATAATTATGAATATGAAGATGTGTTGAACTAACAAAAGCAAAGGAACACAGGTCTCATCTCACAGACCCCCCCACCTTTCCTGCTTTGAATGCTCTACTTCTCAGCAGGTCCAAGTTTTTTTCTTTTCAGATCCTCTGAGGTTTTTTTTTTTTTTTTTTTTGTTTTTTTTTTTTTTTTTTTTCCTCCCTTGGCTGAGACATTCAGAGGGCTCTTGTGTAAAAAGGGGCATGATCATTAAGACAAAGCTCCAAAGAGAACAGAGTTGTTTGTACAACACTGCACATGCTAGTGTTGGAAGGCAGGGAGCAATTTCCTCTGAAAGCAGCCCCAGGGCTCTCTGAAGGCCTTTTTCATGGTCTCCATAGTGACTGGCAGATTCCCTACCACCACCACAGTGCCAGAAGCTTTGGCTGTTTTCATCACTCGTCACTACAGCTAGAAGGAGGAAGGAAATCATTTCCTTGGGGTCCTGTTCTATAGTCGGTACCCCCGTCACCTGGCTGTTTCTCTAAGCATACTCGTATAGACAGCCAACTGTAGGAAGGGGAAACAGAGGGCTTGGAAACCATTTTCTCCACCCTTGATTGAGCTTTAGATGAACAAGGGAGATTCAAAAAAAAAAAAAAGAAGGCAGGCGCTTTTAAATATATTCATTATCATATAATAGCTATTGTAAGTACATTGTATACATTGACTCATATCAAGTCATAGCAAATCTTTAAGAATTGGGAATTAGAATTCTTTTCAATTTACAGATAAAAGAATACAAGCGTAATGTGTTTCATAGCTTGCCCAAGGTCCTGGCTGGTTGGCAGGGAATGGAGAATTTAATAAGCAGATTGGGCTGGCCCTGCCCTGTGCTCATAGACTTTTCCATGTCTGGACAGGTTCCTGCTGGGCATCCAGACTTGCTGTTCTGGTAGATGGCTGAGGTGGGCCTCATGGTGCTGCCCGTGAGACTCAAGAACAGGAGGGAGTTGAAATTGGTGCTAGTGGGGGTTGTGGACAGAAATACCCCTGACCACTAAAGCACAAAATGTGAGCTCTGAGAAAACAAGATGAAAATGACTGCAGGTTGCCTGGTAATGGTGACAGATGTGGACAAGCATCTTGCTTGTGCAACACAAAACAGCAAAAAAGGGCCAGACTGAAACCTCATCTGCTTCTAGGACATGCTGGATCCTTAGCCATTATGATATGACAGCATTAGCAAGCAATATAGGTCTATGGTTTGTTCTGTCATGAAACAAGAGAAACAGATAAACACAGAGACAGAAAGACAGAAACAGAGATTTCATCTATAAATCTGTGTCTAGTTTTGAAGGCTTACAGATAGGAATTAAATGGAATATAGCAACACAGATTGGCATAATTAGTCATGACAAGGAAGACACAATATCACAAGAATGCAACTGAAGAAATTCTAGTGAAAGACTATTTAGTACTAACCAACAACAGATGATAATTTAACTCTCTACTCCACATCTATGTTTCCCTAAAGAGCAAGAAAATGTCACCACTCGGTAGCCCAAATAGGGCATGGAAGGGAGCTGTTTTGGATCCTCTGAGAATTGTGGTGGTTGATGTGGCTATAAGAGAAGGGCCTAAGAGGAATGGGGGCCATAGGCAGAGGAAGGCAGTCACTGCCAGAAAGGAAGTTGCCTTTCTCACCTCCTCTCGCCTATACTCCAACTAGCCAAATCCAATACAAAGTCAAGGAATACAAGGGAGCCTGGTGGATGCCGCACTCAGAAGTCAGCCTCAGACCATGATACTGCAGAGCAGAGACTGTATTTGAGAGCAAATGGAGTAGCATCCAGGGTTAGGTTCAACCACAACCTTCAGAGACCTACGTAGCATGTGACAAGAGCCCTTGTTCTGCCCACCTCCATTTAATCTTATCAGAGGCCCAGTTCTCTCAGTGAGAACACTCTGCACTAGAGTTTGGTCTGTTCAGGGCTGTCAGAAAATCTAACTTTGCTGGACCCAGCTCACTGCCAGCCTTCCTCTCTCACTGTGCCCCACTAAAAGTGGCCTGGGATTTAGACACTGACCACTAATAACGGTGTGGGGACGAAACCCTGCCTGTATCCATAAAGCAGCCACGGGTAAAATATATGGGAAAATATATCCCATGGTGAAATAATTATAAAAAAACCAACAGCATTGTCTAAATTCAGTTGTTGTTATAATGCATTCCTACCAGACAGAATTGAGAAAGTATAAAAGAGATGTACTGCTTTCAGTTATGGAATCTGGTCCTTCTAAGTTTGTGTGCCAGAAACTTTCACCTGTTGTGCCTTCTGTCTTCCACACCACTGATGCTTGTCATTCCCTCTATCGTACACTTGAGGATACATAAGCTCAAAAAGATCCCATGGCAGTGAGGTCAGAATTACATCTCTGTAGCAGCCTAGATCCCCAAAAGTCAGTGCCTAGATTTAAATCACTGGCTTCCTTGCTATTTCAGCCTCACAGCTATGACCAGGATTCATCCTTACTTAAGTTCTTTGTGTCACTTGTACTAGTAAGGCAATGATTAATCTAGCTTTCTTTTCTTCTAATATAAGTACTAATTTAAAACAGTGCTTTAAGAGTGAAGTAAGCATAAAAATGGATTGGAGAAGTGACTAAACAATTTTTTCAAAGAATTCTTCCAAAAATTTTGAATTTCATTCACTACCTGCCCTGCATTATTTTTTTTTATCCTCTGGATGGATGTCCATTGAGTAACTCATCCATTATCTTTTTTAATGGTTGGAAACAATGTGGCTATTTACCAGAATCTCCTAAACAACTTCTCTAAACCAAAAAAGTAGGCTTCTCCAAGACCTATGTTAGAAACCTTGAATTTAGAGTCCAGATGTTTGCTGTTTTACAAATCTTTCCCAGTGATCTGAGATTGGGTCTGTGCTCAAACTGCTAAAGTTAAGAGTTCTAGAAATAAAATTTTCTGTGTTGCAGGCATGCTAAAGTACTCTGTGCAAATTAACTCATTTAACCTTCAACACTGGGCTATAAGAAGGGTATTTATTGTCTCCATGTCATAGATAAAGAAGCTTACGCACAGAGGGTTTCAGTAACTTGCCTCAGGTTACAAAGTTAAGTCAGTGGCAAGGCTGGAATGTGAACCTAGGTAGTTCAGCTACAGAGTCTGGGGCCTGACCATTGTGTCCAACTATCTCTCTCTCTCTCTGACAGAAACAGTACTGACGTCAGTCAACCAAGTGATGGACCCAAATAGAGTAACAGCCTATGACTGAGAATCGTTGATCACTGTTCCGCATCATCTTTTGCTCTTAAAGTTTTATAGTTTACAAAGAATGAGCAAAATTGTAAATGCAGACTATCTGCCAGTACTATCTATATTTAAAAAGCGTGAGATAGGTACTTGGAGAGAAGCAATCTGAAAATATTAAGATCACATGAAATGAATAAATAAGAAGCAAAGAATTATTTTGGTTCTTGAAGTATATGCACAAGATGAGCTGATGAATAAATTGAGCCTAAAGACTCTTTTTCTATCCCCTGACCACCTCAAGAAACATCAAAATGGTGAAGAGGCAAGACAAGACAAAGGAATTTTTCATTGGCACCTTCTTAATCATTATATTGATCTTTCTCTCAGGCACATGGAAAAGGCCCTCATCTTCACTTGGAGACCTTCAACTGACTATATTTCTTTTCTTTTTTAATTTTATTTAAGGAGAAAAAGAAAAAAATAGAAAAAGGGTACAAGTTATACAGAATTTCAGAAAAAATAAGCAGTAGGAAATCACTAGTTAATAAATTACATATTGTCATCTTAGAAATCATTGTTCAAGTTACAAAATTAATGCATATAAAGTGGACATCCAAACAGTGAGACCGCAAACAGTTCTGTTCAATAATCCAACAAAACTCAGTAATATGGTTATCTATCTTACACACTTAAATATACATGCAGTTATATCCTTTAGAGAACTTTCTTTTCCTCTCTTTTGTACAATGATAATTATACATTTTGGGCTTTATTACTCCCACAGTTCTTATTACTTTTTTTGAAGAGAGTAAAACCAAATGTGACATAGCAGAACAGGGTCAGTCAAGTCAAAAGGATGGACATATTGCATAATGTAAAAACAAAATATAAGGTGATCAACAATGGTTACCATATTGCCTCTTGCTATCTTAAAAAGAATTGCCTATATCATCAGTTATAATAAAATTGAACAAAACAGTAAAGAACAAAACCAATAAAACCAAAACATTGGAGACATTACAGGATTTCATAAGAAGATAATATTCAAACCAGAATGGGTATCATATTGAATCTTATTGTCTTCACAGTTGTTGCCTATACTTTCAAACTTGGTACTATCAAGCAAAACAGAATAGAGGAAAATCAGTCAAAACAAGATGATGAGAGCAATACAGGGTTTCAAATCAAGTTAATAGGAAATCAAAGTGGGTTACTATAATATATCCTGCTATATTTTATTTATTTTTCCCTTAATTAAAAAGATAAAAAACTAAATAATAAAAAAATGAGATAAAAGAGGGCATAACAACAAAACAGCACAGGTCAAAACATAACTATTTAAGTAAAACAGTGTTTCACCTCAAGATATCCCGACATAAAAGTAGTTGCCATAGTGTCTCTTTCCTTGAAATCTTTGAATATAACTTCGTATACTCTAGCATCAAATATATCAAGACAAGGTAAAACCATTCAAGAGAATGACAGAATTACAGGGTATTTAGAATCAACTAACATAAAATGAACAATGGTTTCTGTATAATCTCCTTGTCTATAGAAGTTTTTGTTTATATTATCACATATAATAAAACCCAATAAGATACAACATGTTAAGACCGATGGAGACAGAAGAACAAAAGCTTGATGGGACTTCAAAACAAGATGATATTAAATCAACACTAGCTATTATGATGTCTTGTTTTCTCCAAAATAGCTGCTATCCAGCCTTCTCTGCCTCATTTCTGTTGAGCTCTTTTTCTGTCATTAGTTGTCAGTTTGTCTTCTTCATTTCGCTTTCTGCTCCATTCATTGTGGCCTCTCTGCCACTGTTTTTGGAATCTTGGTATTTTTCTTTTAACTGACTATATTTCTAGTGTTGTGTTTTTATACCTAATATCAGGCCCCATGACTGTCCCGCTGAGCCATTTCTGTTTTTCCTTCCAGGCTCCTGACAGTCCTGCTGCAGCAGTCCAACCTCAGTGAAATTAATCACCAGGACAATGAGGTGAGTCTACCCTCTTGGCCATAAGCAGTCATTTTGCATAGGAGTGGTGGGGTTTGGGGGCCTCTCTGAACCATAGGGCTTCCTCTGAAAAGGAAGAAAGGGAGTACATTTTTTTGTGTTCCTTCCATGGAAGCGAAATCTGTGTCTCCACTGCTTATCTAGAGGCAGAAATGTATCCTCATTATGGGTGTGGGTAGCTTTTAATAGGAAGGACTTTGTTGCATTAAACTCTTAAGCATTAGTCATATGACTAAAATTTTGTAATTTCCCTCTGGACATTGAGAAATACATATTGCCTTCTCTTGTCTTCTTAAGTCCCCAAAACTTAAATGGCAAGTAATAGCTCCAGATGTATTCTCTCCAAGCAAAAGAGAACAGAAAATAAATAATTCTAGACTAACTGTTCCAAAGGCCACATTATTAATCCTGGTTATCAAAACTGCTGTGTCATTTGTGTTACAAAGGCAATATTGTGGATGCTTTCAAAAAAAGCTTGAGTTAGAACTCAAGCAAAGTTCTTACAGGACTGCCCAGGAGTAGCTTAGGTTCTGGCTATATCTATACAACTCTTTTAAAAAGCAGCTCTGGTTTTCATTAGCTCGTCTGATTTCTTTAACAAGCTTCTTAAAACCAACTTGAATACCGGGATTTTGATGGAATTTCTTTATAAATATGTGTTTGGTTTGGCTGTATGTTATCAAGAAGGACTGGTAATAGTAAAACAGTCTAGTAATACTGAAAACACATATATACAAGATACCGTACTACATTATCTTTGAGGAGGCCTGCTAGCCACAGCTAATCCGACAGAGATAAGCCCCTTAATAGCTTCCTTTTGGTCTGAATCACCACCACCACCCCCCTTCTGTTTTGAGCTTTTTGCTTGAAGGGCTCCTTCGGATAACAGTGACCACACAAAAAAGCCCCTATTTGCAGGCTGGGTCTGAGGTTGCACGCCTCCCCAGCTCAAGTCACACGCTGCTTTCACTCCCCTAATTTTCAGTGGTTTGAAGCCATACCCCAAAGGATAGAGGACTGCTCTGTTTTAAACTTCTGCTTTAAAAACAAGAACCAGCGATGAGACAGGCACGCTGATCACTGTCTGCCCATGGTATGAAAGCAGGGTGTTTATGTCAGCCAATTGCTAAGAAAGGTTCTGACCACTTCCCCCACCTCCAGTCCCTGCCTTCACCTCCTAAGTGAGTCTTATTTAGGAAAGTAGTAATTCAGTCATTCATACACTAATGCCAGATTACACTGTTAGACCTCCCACTCTGTCCACCCAGGTGAACCAACACCTCCCTAAAAGACCAGGGTCTCCTTCTTTTCTCCAGACTGAGAAGCCTCAGGTTGATAGAAACAATGAAATTAGACATCGATCTAAGAGTGGCAAATGCAACATCTTGCAGATAATGTGTGGCAAATATTTTAAAGCTCCTTTGGTTCTCCTCATGCAAAATAACCTCTGTGGAGGTTATTACATCAGTTTGTTATTACATCAGTTTTGTCGTTACATCAGTATTTGGGTCCATGGAATTTTACGTGCAAAAAGTAGTGGCTTCAAAAGGGGCACTTTCTATGCAGCGTCACAGTTCCTCTATGGCCAGCATCACAGCAGGTCTGAAATCCACCTGAAACTAACTGATAGTGCTTGCCCGTGTTGTCATACTACATTGGAGTTGTCATATATATTTAATATATAGTCATCCCTTGGTATACATGGGGCATGGGTACCAAGTCTCGCTTGAGATATCAAAAATCTAAAGATGCTCAAGTTTCTTATATAAAATGGCATAGTATTTCATGTAACCTAAGCATATCCTCCTAAGCACTTTAAATTAACTATGAATTACTTATAAAAATTAATGCAATGTGAGTGCTATGTAACTAGTTGTTATTGTTTAGGGAATACTGACAAGAAATGTCTGTACAACTTTAGTATCAACATAATTTTTCCCCTTAATATTTTCTATCAGCTACTGGTTGAATCTATAGGTGAAACCTATAGATATAGAAATCCCTGTATATGTGTGTATGTATTTTGTCACTGTTAATGTGCCCCAATCAGTATATATTTGCAAGGGCAACAGCTCTTTGCCATTGAAAGATAAGGACAATTGAAAGGACTAGAGGCGCAGTCAGTGGTGGAGTGCTTGCCTAAAACTAAGCCCTACATTTGATCCCCAGCACCAAAAATAATAATCATGACGATTCTAAAATGGAAAGAATTCAGGCCAAGCTTGTATGTTACTAGAGACTGCTCTCAGGGCCTTTGGACAGAGTTACATCTCTAATTCCTCCCCTCTCTTTTAAAAGTTTTGATGTAAGGTTTCACTAAGTTACTAAATTCCCTAGACTGGGCCTCAGACTTGCAGGTCTCCAGCCTTGACCTCCAAAGCACCAGGACTATTTATAGGTGTAGACCACCAAGCCCAATTCCAAGCTTCCATTTTCATTCATTACTTGGGTAGAATTTCTTTATTTAGCTTCTCTACCCCCGCTCACCTCTCAACCATTTTTAATGAGCTCCCAATTGTATATGAGGGGATGGCCTACATGTCCTTTAGCACATAAGTGGGTAAAGAAAATATGATACTTATGTACAACAGACCACTACTCAGCCATAAAGAAGGATTATCTTGAGGCATTCTTAGGTGTGTATGCACCTTGAGATCATAATGTTAAGTGAAATAAGTCAAGACACACAACTTTAAATATTTCGTGGTTTCTCTTATATGAGAAACCCCAATAAAAGTGAAGAGCAAAATGAAAGATAGATAAAAGAAAATAGGGAAATATTTTTCAAATGAGAAGGGGAACAAGATATGGAAGGAAGAAGAAGGGGAAAGAAGTGAAAAAGAGAACTAATGAAAAATGGAGGGCCAGGGGCATAGTTTAGCAGCACAGCACCTGCCTGACAGCTCAAGGTCCTGAATTCGATTCCTAGTACAAAAAAAAGACAGGTTAAGCGTTGGAGGGTGCAGGGAGGTCTGTAAGGGGTAGGAGATAAAAAAATAATTCATATGTGCCATGTACATGTACAAACCCCCACAATAAACATAATCATTACGCACTGAAAATTTGTATAAACAAAAAAATTTTAAATATCTTTAACACTGAATACTGTTGGCACTTCTTGATGGAGTCAATGGCTCTCAAACAAATGGAACTGAGAACTGGGAAAAGAGTGGTCTATGCACAATTTTAAAAAATAAAACCCCTTTGGGTTTAGATTTCTAATCCCACAGGCCCAGTTGAAAATGAAGAGGGCTCTTTAAAGTACATTGAAGTACTCAAAAGTAAAAATCCAGCTATTTAAGTAGAAGCAAAGCATTCCACTCTTTTTAGACCAGCATTCTCTTCTATATGGAACCAATTTTTTGAAATAGCCTCAAGAACATCCATGGAATGTTATATGACACTTGAAACCTGAAAACACACCATAATTTAAAAATTAAAATAGGGGACTGCTTGAGGGGATTTAACATTCACATTCCAATGCCCCACAAACTTCAATCCCTAGATTTAGCTCCATGTTCAGTGGGCCTTGGGAACTCCTTTAGAGCTCAGTTTCCTCTGCTATAAAATGAGAGGGACAGTTGCACTCCTCCTTGCCCTGAAGTGGGGCTTTGAATTCTACCACGACTCTATTCTCAGTGACCTTGCTTGAACATACTCTGTCTCTGTGACGTGATTTTGGATATCCTCTTCCCCTGCTTCTTCTTGCAGAGTCCATTTAACAATAGGTTGTACCTCTTGGTTACTCTCTAACACAACACTCTTTGTGTACTTAATCTAGAAAATCCTCCTACAACCTTGTGAACATGCATTATCTACCTTCTTTTACCAACAAGCAACTCCTATCAGAGCAAGGATCTTATTTATCTTACTTTTGGATTCTTAATAGCTGTTTGCCTGACGAAAGCAGAAGCTTAACAAATGCCTATTAAATGAATGTTTTAGCAAATGAGTGATCTAGTTAGCAGCAACTAGCCCATTTGGTGATGGTCCCCAGACCTGGAGAGAAATTGTGCCTTCTGGTTTCCTTCCAGGAGCCTATGCTCATTTCCACCCTCTCTGATTGTTTTGTAGGGAATGACACCACTCCACTGGGCAGCTTTCCACAACCAGCCTCAGCACACCCAGATGTTGTTGAAGAAGGGGGCAGATCCCACCCTTGTGGATAAGGACTTTAAAACAGCTCTCCACTGGGCAGTCCAGGTGAGATTAGCCAGTGGGCCTGACTCAGGTTTAAATGATGTAAAGCAGTATCAGTGATTGTCTGGACAGATCAAACAGGAAAGAGAGAATTCTTGCAAGTGCAAGTCCTGGTATTGAGGAAATTTCTATGTATAATGGAAGTGGTAAGATGCCTCCTTCCCTTCTCCCTTCCTTCCCTATCCAAGGGGCAACAACAAATCCATCACTTTGGAGCCACTATCTGCGTGTGTGTGTGTGTGTGTGTGTGTGTGTGTGTGTGTGTGTATCACACATACTTCTCTCTGTCTCAATGCTTGCTACTGTCTTACAATAACCTTCAAAGGATTACTAGAAAAATCCCTTTGAAATCTTTGGACCGCAACACTCTGATTTTCTTCTGTCCAAATCCTCAGCAGTGTCACTGCAAGTGATCTTGAAATCTATACTGGTATCAGGGACAGTGGCGTGGGCACCTGCCTCACAGGGAGCTGCTATCAGTACACAGGACCGAGACGTCAGAATAGGCCTGTGAAATCTAGACAGAGTCAAGAGAAGATGGAGTTGAGAATAAAGTGAAAGAATGGTGATAGTTAATGTGTACAGAAACACTTTCTGTTTTAAAGGGGAATGACTAACTAGAGTAACAGTTTAACAAAAGAGATGTGCAGCCCCTTGTTCAGATAGCAGGACTGTGCTTCCTTCTTTGCCGGCTCCGTCTTCGGATGGCTAAGCACAGGCAGCCCTGCTGTTTATTTCCATTGACCCAGAAAGGGTCCCTTTTGGGGCTGCCACTGGTGTCCTCACGAAACAAGTTTCTGCTGCCCACTATAGTTTCAGTCTACATTGTCATGTGCCAGGCACAGCAGAAGTAGGCACCTGGGACTTTTAGGATTGACATGTGCCTGAGGAAAGGGGAAACAGAAGTGTCTGGAAACTGCTCTGTTTTTGTCCCTTCCTGCTTGACTTCAGTTACTCTGCACCAGAGCTGGCCCTGGACAAAACTACAAGGAGAGTAAAACTTGTTTTTGTCATTTCCACCTGCCCGAGCACCCTGCTTGTACTTCCCGTATCCAATCACCTGCCCTGCTCCCCCTGACAATCTGTGTATATGTCCTACAGAGCAGGCCTTTGGCCAGTCAGAGGTCACCACTGTCACAGTGGTCCCAGAAGAGCCTGACCCAGCTCCCAAGAAGGACCCTATGTGTATTCTTCCTCAGCTAAGGTGAAGTGGCACCAGCCCAGCATCTTTTACACATTTACTTTTCACACCCTTACAGTCTGGCTGCCTCGTTCTGGGATGAGCCCTTTGAAAGGTTCTCCCAGGTAACTGTGACTGATGTGGCTTCTCTGCTCCCCTTTCCTTCACACTGCCCCAACTTAGAGCCTCTGCCTTAGATCTGGTGCTGCAGTGGAATCACCAGCGGGTTGTAAAGTGGCAGGCGCCCAGACCTCACTACGGTCCCCTGGAATCTGGCTCTTGAGGGATGGGACTGATGTTCTTATCCTCTAGAAGCAATTTTGCTCAAGCAGAAGAACAATGTGCTCAACTCAGAAGATCGAGTTTGTGCTGACAGATGTGAGTTTGATCTGAGGAGAATGCCAACACATTTTGTTCACCTTATCTCTCCATAAACCTTTGGGGGTTATGAATGAGATCATGTATATGACAGTGATTTAAAATGTGATGTGGAGTTGGAAGAGATAATCATTGTGTTGTGGCCCCTGACCCCCCATAAAAGCTTGTTTCACATACCGCGCCTTCATTTCAGTCTCACTACTAAATGATACAGCTTTTAACCTGCTAAGTTCATTAGATTCATCTAAAGAACGTGTAAGCTGTACTGATGCTTAAGACCCAACTCTTAGATTCTCATCAAGCTCCTTGCCTTGTGGTTAGCAGTGAAATTCAGAAATTCTGGGTTCTGACTGTTACAGTGGAAAGACTAAGGGTTAATTCCAAATATTGAAATCATTATTAAACTTGTCTTCTTTATCCTTCTTGTTCATGTATAACACATGACCAGCTTTATGTCCCTTTTAAAGTTTTTCCACATGAATGAATTTATTTCCCTTTGTCACTTACTCCTTTTGCTGAACTTCCTGCTTTTCTCTGAATCATACAATGAGATTCCACTTAAAGCTATAGTGCTCTGAAATAAGTAAGTCTTTGTATTCAAAACAGTAAAGATTTGAAACATCAGTTTCAGATTTAGTTTAATGTCTACTCTCACATCTCAGATTTCTTGATGGCTGGTGATCCCCTACAGTGGGTCCATTTCCGTCTTTCTCAGTCTTCCATGGAGAAGATAACTCTGCTCCCTGTGAGGTCAGATATAGCCAAGCAGTGTGGCTCACAAGGAGCAGAGTTATCTTCTCCACATGGCCATCTCCCACAATGGCATCCCGGGTCTTAAGGGGCCTGTTCTTACCTATTCATGAGGGCACCAGATTTTTAGGAATTTATACAGATATATCCCTACCTCATCTCTCTTTCACTAAATTGGGCAGAAGTTAGGTCCTGAATTATTCTCTTACTCTTCTTCAGCTCCCATGACTTAAATTGCCATCAAATTCATAAGTCTTAGATCAGTAACTTCAGCTCTGACCTCTCTTGCTCAAAACTTACATTTCCGGCTCTATTGAGCACCTCTCCACAATTTCTCACTGGTAAGTACTTTGAACTCAACATGGTCAAACTGAATCTATAGCCTTACCTTCTGATCATATCTCCAATCCTCCCAGTAAATCAAGCTGAAGACTTCTGAACAGACTGTGGGTATCCCTTCCTTTTATCATTCTGCACATCCGGTTGGTTACTAAGAACCTTCAGTTCTACTGTCTCAGTCTCTCTCATCCCTCCCTTCCTCTGTATCCCTATGCTCAGTAAGGGACCCATAAGAAAAGATGCAGTATACTCAGATGGAAATAACTGAAGATAGAATCATGTAGAGACTGTCTACACACAACCCAAGGGTTAGCAAGAACAGATTCCATTAGGCTATATAGGCCTAAAAAGGCACCAGAAGGAGAAATTGATTACTTTTAGTCTATTTCGTGTTGCCATAACAAAATACCAGAGACTGGATAATTTATAAAGAGAAGAGATTTTTTTCTTATAATTCTGGAGGCCCAGAAGCTCAAGGTTGAGAAGAACCTGCTTCTTTTTTTTTTTTTTTTTTTTTTTTTTTTTTGTCTTTTTCGGTACCAGGGATCGAACTCATGACTGCCTGCTTGCAAGGCAGGCACTTATGCCGCTGAGCTAAATCCCCAGATCCCGAAGAACCTGCTTCTAATGAGGGCCTTCAGGCTGTATGACCCCATAAAAGAAGGCCAAGAAAGCACACGAGAGGAAAGGGTACTGAACACATGCTTCTTAAGAATGCCACTACCATCATGACCAAACCATTCCTGGGATAAAAGACATTAATCTATTTATGAAGGCAGATCCCCTCATGAACCAGTCAACAAAAGTTCTACCACTCAACATGGTGACCCTGAGAATTAAGTTTCCAACACCTAAAGTGTGAGGGACACATTCAAACTGTAGCACTAAGACCAGCAAATCTATAGTATAGCTATAGGAGTACACCTGGACAGAAACTGCAGCCTTTGGTGGAATAACACTGTTTTTAGGTCTATAGATTGAACCCAGGACTTAGTACATGCTAGGCAAGTACTCTAGCATTAAGGTACATTCCCAAACCTCTTTAAAATTTTTATTTTGAATAGTGTCGCACTAAGTTGCCTAGGCTGGCCTCAAACTCACAATCCTCCTGCTTCAGGTTTTCCAAAAGCTAGGACTACAGGTATATAGCACCATATCGAGCTAGGTATTTATCCTTGGTTTTTGATAGTCTTTGGATTTTGACAAATGTATAATGATATATACCCACCACTATAGTATCATATGGCGCACTTTCACTGTCTTACGTACCCTCTGTGCTCACCTTGCTCTTCTTACTCTTCCTAACCTCCTTACCACGCCCGGGGACCACTGATCTTTTCATTGTTCCCTTAGGTTTCCTTTTTCAGAATGCCGTACATCTGAAATCTTAAAGGACCCTTTTCAAAGGGCTTCTTTCACTTAGTACAATATACATTTGTATTTTCTCTACATCTTTTCATGCTTAAAAGCTCATTTCTCTTTAGTGTTAAATAATATCCCATTATTTAAATGTACCACACATTTCATTTACCCACTTATCTACTGAAGGGCTTCTAGACTGCTTCTATGTTGTAATGATTATGAATAATGTTGCTGTAAACATCAATGTAGTGGTTTCTGTGTACGCATAAATTTTCAACTCCTTTGGGTAAGTACTAAGGTGCACAACTTCTGGACTTCATGGTAAGGACGTGCTTAATGTTCTTTTTCTTTTCTTTTTTTGGGGGGAGGGGGAGTACCTGAGATCAAACTCAAGGGAATTGAACTCACGACCTCGCTTTTGCAAGGCAAGCACTTATGCCACTGAACTAAATCCCCAGCCCCAGGATGTGTTTGATTTTGTAGGAAACTGACAAAATGTCTTCTGAAGTGGCTATACCCATTTTGTGTTCCCACTAGCAATGAATGAGAGTTCCTGTTATACTACATCCTTGCCCACTTTTGGTGTTGTCAGTGTTCTGGACTTTTCCCACTTTTACTGGTATGTAGAGGCAATTCATTGTTGTCTAATTTGCATTTCAGTAATGAGATATGATATGGAATTTTTTTCATATTTTTATTATGAAAAATATGTTAATCCATATGTTTATTATGTACCTTTTGTACATCTTCCTTAGTGAGGTGAATATCAAGATTTTTAGTCAAGTCTTGTTTTTTGTTTTATGGGAGAGGTTGTCTTTTTGAGACAGTGTTTCACTATGCAGTTCAGGCTGACCTTGGACTCACTTTGTAGCCTTGGCTGGCCTGGAACTCATGGCAACCCTCCTGCCTCAGCCTCCCAAATGCTGGGGTTATAGATGTATACCACCATGCCTGACTTTAGCCAGGTTTTAATTGCATTTTTTATTAGTAAGCT